AGCGCATGTGACGGCTTCTGCACTTCCCCGATGCCAGCGGAGACGCTGATTCGCTCACGAGTCCTCCCTTCCCCTTCAAAACGAAGGTCCTGGGTATGCAGACAGCCACAGAAAGAGGGGGTGCCGGTCTGCAGCGGGGGCTTCCACCGTGTCCCCAGGACGTGCTCCTTAAAGACCCAGAAGGCAGAAACTCTCCCCAGCCTCTCTCTCTCACACAGACACACACAGAGGGACACGGACACACAAAGACAACACACACAGAGGGACATGGACACACAAACACAACACACACACAGAGGGACACACAGACACACACAGAGGGACACATGGACACACACAGAAGGACACACGGACACACACACACACACACACACACACACACACACACACACACACACCCGAGCAAGCCCTTTCCCTCCAGCAGACCGTCCTGCCACAGAGAGAGGAGGGCAGACGAGGACCACGGACACACAAACACACACAGAGAGACACACGGACACGGACACACACACACACACACCCCCGAGCAAGCCCTTTCCCTCCGCAGACCCTCCTGCCACAGAGAGAGGAGGGCAGACGAGGACCACCTTCCCCGCATGGGGGTGCTCTAAAGGCCCGAGTGGGAGATCAGAGGCGGATCTAGGCGCCCCCATTTCCCCGCCATCGACAGCGAGGCCCAGCTCTTCAGAGGCACCCAGGGAACGGGCCCGACGTGACCAAGGAAATAACGTCGTCAGAATGACTGGTGCCCCACGGGGCCGGGCCTGGCTCTGGCCTGGCTGCCTGCCAGAGAGGCTCCCGCCACTTTCCAAGGACACAGAGGGCAAGCATTCCTGACAAGGTTCTCCCAGGACTGTCCCTTCCCAGGCCTGACCCCCCTCGGGGCTCGCCCTAGGGGCCCGTGGAGCCGAGTGAGGACGCCAGGGCCCAGAGGCTGTGTCACTCCCCTGGGGCCAGCCTGGATCATAGCGAGTTCATTATTTCAAGGACAAGTTCTCAGACCCTGTACCCAGCCGCCCGCCCGACAGGGTCCGCCCGCAGAGATGACCGCAGCGGCTGAGGAGCGGGCAGGCCTCCCCGGGGAGCTTGGCCCTCTCGGGCCCCAAGGCCCCACGTGTCCCAACAGGGCTGTGCAGGCCTTGTACACACGTGGGGACACACGTGGGGACACACGTGGCAACACACGTGGGCAGGCACTCCTCTCCCAGCCAGTGGAGGGGGGCCCTTCCTCTGGGCCAGGCCCCCACAAAGCCTTCCGTCAGTTCTTGCTCAGTGGGCCTCACGAAGCCCAAGGCAGGGGGCCATCCCCCCCTGCCTGTGGGGTGCGCTGGGGCAGTGGGAGGCTGAGGGAAGGGGGCAGTGGGCCATGGGGAAGGGGCGCTGGGTGGAGCCAGGCAGCAGAGGCGCAGATTGCTCCAAGTCTCGGTGTGCCGGCAGGGGGAGGGGGCGTCTAAAACCCTTTCAAAAGCCGGGGGAGGGAGGATTTCAAAAGAGACCCCCCACCCCGCCGCAAAGGTTCCGAAGACCCCTGCCTTCCGCTCCGCTCCCCACCGCTCCCTAGCCAGCAGCAGCCAGGACAGGGGTGCCGAGCAATGTTTCCAAGGAGACGTGTCCCTGAGCCACCCTAACTCCTGGGTCTGGAGGCCGCCAAGCCACGAAGAGGCCCCCCGCTATAAAGAGGCCAGTTTGGCGTTCCCGGGGGAGGTCTCCAGCAGCCTGGGACCCCGGGGGGGCCTGCCTCAGACCCCCACTGCCCTGAGTTTATGAGAGGCCACCATGCTGAACAGTGCTACTCCACCAGCCGAGTCCCTCTGGTGCCACTAAAGGGACTTTTACCCCCGCCAGCTCCATGCAGCCACTCCGGGCTCGGGCCATTTAGCAGGGGAAGCTCTCCACAGGGACCCTGGGCCCCAACAGTTTAACTACGGAAACTGCAGAGCCACCCCCTCCCCGGGCTCCAGTGTCCCGCTGTCTTCCATTCACAGCTCCCCACTGTCACCCCTGCCACCTTCCCGAAGCCACCAGGGCCAAGGAGGCACACAGTACGAGCCCAGCACAGTTTATCGGCGCCCTCCTCTCTTCTCCCCGGCCTCTGGACCGGACCAGGCGGCTCCCTGTTCTCTTCCCATCACCCCCCATCAACGCTGCAGCCAGACTGGGCTCCATGAAGCACACGGTGTGTGCAGGACACACCTGCTCCCAAACCTTCCATGGCTGCCTAGTGCGTAAGCCCAAGAGTGCACACTCAGGTACCCAGAGGGAGCGGGCTGGGGGCACAAAGCATCCCCCTAAAACACCGCAGGGACTGGTGGGGACTGTGGTCTTGGGCACACGTACTCCAGAGTCGCCATCGCTGTGCCATGTGGGGTCCCCCCCACCGCAGGCCCTGGCCGGGGAGCCACACATGGTGGAGAGAGCTGGGCTTTGACTGAGATCCTGGCTCTGCTCCTTCCCGGCTGGAAGGACTTGGGTCACTGGTGAAACACCCTCTATGAGATGGAGAACTGGCACCTGTGCCAGGTGTCTGCGTGGTGGGCTCAGTACGGGGCAGCCGCCAGCATCTTCACCTGGTGCGACCTCCCTTCGCTGCACAGGGCGTGTCCTTGGTGCCTTCTCTGGGATGCTGTAAGGCCTCTGAGCGCAGGGCCTGTGTCCCCTTAGCCCGCTAACACCCGCGGAGACCACCCCAGCTCTCCACATACAGCAGGTGCTCGGTCGGTGCTCTCTGGTAAATATTGCTGACGAGGCCAAGGAGAGCGGGCAGGTGGGGAGGGCAGGCCAGAGGGAGGAGGTCTCCAGCCCACGCCTGTGGCCATGCACCAAAGGCCTACACCATGAGACTTTCTGCAGCTGTGCAAATGTCTCACCTGGACCACCCGCTCCTTGCTGCCTGCTCCAGGCCTCCAGCTCCCACGTGGCCAGGGACCCGGGCCAGCCGAGAGCACTGCAGAGCAGGCGTGGGCGAGGGGCCCTGTCCGGCCACCAGACAGGACTCCTTCCCCTCCACTCATCAAACCCCCTGCTGCGTCTCCCACTACTCTGGGTGGGAGTGGCTTTTCGCCCGAGGACACGCAGCTTCTAAGCTCTGTAGAGAAGGGGAGACGGAAGAGGGAGGGCAGGGGGAGAAACACCTCTGAAATCGCTGTGGTCCAATTAGCCGGCGTCCGCCCTCCCTGCTTACAAACCGGAGCTCACATTAACACCTGCTACAGAAGCGAGCATTTCTAGACATCTCCATCTTCACCTCCTTGACACGCTGCCTGAAAGCCCGCTCGGCAGCCGCTGACTGATGGGTAGTTACCTTCTACGTCAGCAGGAGGCTTTCAAACAGAAGAAATTAAAAAGTCACCAGGCTCCCTGTCAGGCCAAACTCCCAGGGCCCTAACCGGGCCCCTCGTGTCCCCTCGCCCCTGGGCAAGCCCCACCATGCACACAGGCGGGGTCAGCGCCTTTGTGAGTCACTAGGCTGCTGGAGACGCAAACCCCTGAGCCTGGCGACATTCCAGCAAGGTGCGGATGAGGGACCATACGCACCCTGAGTAAAACTACACTCAAAAAAGGCCTCTGTGTAAAGTGTGGGTGGTGGCACTGACTGGAGCCACTCACACAGTGCTGGGGGCATAATGCCACACAACCACTTTGGAAATTTATGAGTCAGGACCTCCTGGAAGTGGACAGCCTCCGATCCACCGCTCCAGCCCCAGAGACATCTCACGTAGAACTGAACGCGCGTCCGCCAAAGAAGCTGATGAGAACGTGCATAGCAGGACGGAAACGACCCACGTGCCCATCAAGAGCGGGGCAGATAAACGGTGATGTGTTTGCACAACAGAAGATTATACACCAGTGAAAAGGAACAGTGTCCAACCACAGGCACGTACGTGAATGAGCAAAGGACGCCAGACACGAGTGAGCGGAAACCGCGTGATCTCGTTTAGCCCGGAATGGGCGACAGCAGCCTGTGCTGTCAGATGTCGTGATGGTGATGACCCTTCGTCTGTGGGGGGAGGGGCCGGAAGGGGGGTTCTGGGGTGCAGGAACGGTCGGCTTCTTCAGCTGGGCATTAGATATACAGGTGTGCTTGGTTCGTGAGAACTCACCGGCGGTGCCTATACCTCGATGGATTTTTTTTCCGATGGATGCACTCGAGGGTTTTGTGCAACGGTACCGGTTGGCAGGGCTGTTGCTAAGACTATGACGAAGAGATCACGAGGAAGAAGAGTGGGGAGGAAGCAAGAGTCAGGATGCTCGACACGGCCTGACGCCCCACTTCTCAGAAGACAGGGTCCTGAAGAAGGTGATCGCACCGAAGACCAGGATTCCGGAAGCTCCCACGGTCCCCTCTGCCACCTCCACCCCACCCCCCAGGCCAGCCCTGTGCTCGACGGAAATCCAGCTGTGCCATCTCTCACGGGGAGGTCACCCCGCTGCCAGCCCGACCACGCCCATCCACGGAAGGCAAGGAAGACCTCGCGGCCTCCTCCCTCCACACCTCTGGCCCTGTGGGGGGCACCATGGGACGCGGAAAGCTCCCCTTCTGGAAAGACAGAATTTTCCAAAGTCCAAAGCCACATGCAAGAGGGAGAGGAGAAGTCGTGTAATAACGTTTAAGTGTTCTGTCTGGACAACGTGCCTGAGGAATTCAGCACGTTTAGCGGGCAAATGTGAGCAGTTAAATCTATTCAGTGTCACGACATACAAAATTGAAGCATAGTTGTCCCCACGTGCTTGACAACTGGAAAGCGCTTCACCTCAGGAATGGAGGGAGATCTACACTGGGAAGCGGAAGAGGCTGTCGAAAGTTTGCTTGTGATGTTAGTGGAGCCGCAACGGGAGGCTGGGATGGAGAAAGTGCTCCGACTCTGACCCCTTCGCTGCCACCTAAACCACGTCCGAAACAGCCGACGACCCCTACAAGCCAGTGACACCAAGACCGGACCGCAGACTCTAAACCCGACACACCGCCCGCCCCGGCACAGCGGGGACAAACGCGTTCTTACCGATCATGTGGTTGGCAACGTGGATTTGGATCTCTCGCTCATTCTCGAAGGTCATCTGGCACTTGATGCACTGGTACGTCTTTTTCTATTTGGAAACCAAAAATATATATATATATATTAGACAGTCAGGAAGAAAAAAGGAGCAGAAAGCAATAGCTCCCAGAGGTCCTGGCTCCAGACTTCCCAGAGTGGCTCTGGTCCCCTGCCAGGTCTCCCCAGGCCACTCTCTTCCTACCTGCTTTCGAATCCAGCTCTCTCGCCTGGGGAAAGATGGGGCGGGGGGTCAGGCTACATTCCAAAGGAGCTTTTCCTGCTAGGCCTGGGGAACGTGCTCCACCCGAGGTGCGGGCACACAGCAGAACCACAGAAAGGAAGCTGAGGGAGGCCGCCCTGCTCAAGTGTGCTCAAACCCACCCTCTGTCTACCCATCCATCTGCGTGCGCGCGCGCGCACACACACACACACACACACACTCCCCTACCCCTACTCATCCATCCATCCATCCATCCCCCTGCCTATACAGTCAGCCCATCCATCTACACACACACACACACACACACACACGCACACCTACTCATCCATCCATCCATCCATCCCCCTGCCTATACAGTCAGCCCATCCATCTACACACACACACACACACACACACACGCACACCTACTCATCCATCCATCCATCCATCCCCCTGCCTATACAGTCAGCCCATCCATCTACACACACACACACACACACACACACGCACACCTACTCATCCATCCATCCATCCATCCCCCTGCCTATACAGTCAGCCCATCCATCTACACACACACACACACACACACACACACCCCTACTCATCCATCCATCCATCCATCCACCTGCCTATACAGTCAGCCCATCCAACCACACACACACACACACGCATGCATGCACACCTACTCATCCATCCATCCACCTGCCTATATAGTCAGCCCATCCATCTACACACACACACACACACACACACAAACACACCCCTACTCATCCATCCATCTATCCACCCACCTATCTATACAGTCAGCCCATCCATCCACACACACACATACACACACACACGCACACCTACTCATCCATCCATCCATCCATCTACCTATACTGTCTACCCATCCACCCACCTACACAGGCATGTACACACACAAGGACACACACACAGATGTCCAAGCGTGCAAGCATGTGCATGTAAGCCCCACGCTAATCCCCCCGACTCACCAGACACACGTAAGACCCTCATGGACATAGCGCCAAGCCCCACACAACAACAGGTATACAGGTGCAACCCTCAGAGGAGTGGAGATGACCTTGGGGTCACACGTTCACGTGGGCTGACATGTCCAGTCTCATCCCCCGAGGCGCACACACACTTTCAACTGCCTCAGTGGAAACCGATGGCCACATCCATCACACCCAACGTGCCCACGGATGCACAAGCAGCTTCTGACACAAGCGTGTGCACAGCCCTACGCTCATATGCACCCTGTGTACACATGACTCCTAAGTGTACACATGTGCTCTCACACACACTTGCACACACACAAGTTCACCACACCAAAACTCATTAAGGCGCGTGTGTACCCAGATGGCCCGCACACAGGCGGCCCCTGTGGTCTTGCATGTGAGGCCGGGGTGCCCGTGTCCAGGGCAGAGGGCAGCGGGCAGGGTTGCGCGGTCCCTCAGGCTGGTGGATCATGGGTATGGGGACAGGGAGGTGAGGACTCTCACTCGCTTGCCCTTGACCTTCCCCTCTGCCCCCCTCCTGCTGCAACCTGGCCGGCCCACCCCGTTCTCACCTCAACACCTCCTCTTGGTCTGTCTCTCCACCCGCATCCCCTAGAGACTCCCCTCCTCCTCTAGGGCTTCAGTCCCCGCTAGGAGACACAATCACATATAGAACTTGGCATTCAAAGCACCTCCTCTGCCATAAGCCACTTCCCTGGGGCCCAGCCCAGGAACACCAAAGCTGAGCCCTAGGGCCTGAGGCCAGGGCTGCCTCCCAGAGCCGGCCCTGTGCCGCCTCAGAGGGGGCCCCAGGAGGAGAGAGAGCGTGGAGGCAGGTCGAGAGGGCGGGGGGGGAAAGACAGCCATAGCTGCTGAATTTCCATTATCAAGATCAGAGCTCGCATTTACTGAGCACCTACTACGTGCAAGCACCGTTTATTCTGAACACTCACGATCACTCTGCGAGCTCCACTGCAGGGAACGAGAAAGTGGAGTTTCGAGAGGCTAAAGTCCTTGGTCAAAGCCCTGTGCTGATGAGCAGGGGACCCGGGATTCGAGGCCTGGCAGGCTCCCTCCGGAGCCCACCGTCTGAGCTGCCATCCTCGGCTCCACACCCCAGGTCACCCTGGACGGTGCTGGCCTGGATGACAGAAAGCTAGTGTGACCTGGACAAGCCCTCTCACCTGGCCGTCTGTGAGACTGAGTGTGAGAGCACCCACTCTGCCCCACCTGGCAGGGGAGGCTCTCGAGGGCCCGGTGAGGACCAGGGTCTGCCCAAGCCAGCCTGGTGTTGGGGTGATGTTGTTATTGCCCGTAAACAGAGGGGGAGGCGGAAACCTTAATGCTTCATGCTCCAGCCGACAGCAGTCTCGGCCCCACGGGAACCCAGTCCTCCGAGAGCTGGTTGCTATGGATACACTCCCGAGGGTCCCAGCCTGCCAGCCCCCAAGCCCCCATGCAGTCCCCAGAGTCTACTCTTACATGCGTGCATCCGGGGGGAGGGCGGGGTGGGCTCACAGACAGCTGGGCCCCTGCCCCCAGGCGTGCCCAGGCAGGGGACAAGGCTCCAGAGGCTGTGCCTTCACTGGGGAGGTGCCCAGGCTTTGTCTAGCTCCTTTCTGCAAATAGCCCACCTGCCCAGGCCTCTAGATGTGATTGTCAGCGCGCCTCCTCTCCCACAGGCCCGGGACAGGGAGAGGAAGGCCTGTCGGGCACCAGAAAACAGGCTGCTTGGGTGTGAAGCCCTCACACCGCTGTGCACCCTGAGGTGCCAGGCTCCACCTTCCTGACACCGGATCCTCTCAACAGAGGTCATGGCAAAGCTCCCAGGTTGTTGCCATAGAAACAATACAAGAGCCGGTGCCCACCCAGTGGAGGGTTTAGAAAGTAGTACTTGATGCGGGATCCAGAGCAGACTGGGGAACCCCGTGGCCATCAGGAACCCCAGTGCGGTGGTGGGCTGTACCGGAGAGGTAGGGATGGGGCTGGGGTACACCTGAGCACGGGGGTGACCGCCCTGGACCCCACCCCACGGGCCTCTCCCCTCTCACTAGCAAGCTGGGCTCCAGAGGTGCTGCGTAGAGTGCTGGTTGAGAGATCCAGCTGCGGCACCGCACACTGCCTGGGTTCGAATCTCTCGAAAGCCGGGCACTCATGGCCCACTGTTCTGAGCCTGCGTTTCTCACTAGTAAAGTGGGTGTTGTGAGGATTATATAGTGTTTGGACAGCCTCATGCCTTGATAAACATGAGCCATGATTATAAATGGGGAAGTGACAAGTGACGTTTACTACATGCTTTTAATCCTCAGAGCAAAACGCTGAGGTCGGCACAGGAATCAGTCACAATATTTAACCATCGACGAGGAACGGGTACTAACCAACCACGGCAGAGGCTGACACAAAACCAGAATGGCCCCTGTGTCTCCCCGGCGATGCCAGCTTTGGAGACGGACACGGCCGCCGTTACCGTCACCATCACCCTCTGGCTTGACAGGCGAGGACAGAGGCCCAGAGAGTTCAAATCACAGGTGGGTACTGGGAGAGGGAGGTTTTAATGCCGGAGAAGGAGGTCCTGGAGGTCAGACCACCTGACTCCAGGACCCAAATGCTCCCAAGGCCACCCATTCTGGCCAGCCAGCAAGCCGAGGCTGGGGGGACAGAGCTGGGCCGCACTGCTCTGGCAGGGACCCCTGCTCAGGACCGCTGTAGGGTGCCCCTTCCCCTGTGGCGCCCCCTCATTCTCTCACTCACTCGCCCCCTCTGATCTCGCAGTGAAAGCCCTCGGCAAACAGCTCTGTCTCCCAGCAGGCGTCTGTGGCAGACAGGAGCCCTCCAGGGACAGGTGTCCCCGAGATCTTCTTGGCACCTCCTCAGTCTGGGGATAGACGACCCTGACTCGATGGGGATGCCCGGCCCGTTTTGTCTGACACCTGAGAGCCACACGGCGCTGGGCCCACCATCGGATGCCCCCGGTCCCCAGGGCCCTGCAGGAGCCCAGAGTCCCCTGCCTCACTGAAACCCACCGGTTATGGGCCTGTGACTCCCCTGGTCTGGGAGCCTCCAGGACAGGGTCCATTTCCAACTCCCCTTGGCTGCTCAGCACCCCGAACATAATGGGTGCTCAGGATAAGTTTGATTGACGAATGAATGAATGAATGAATGAATCATTAACAACGGTAACTGGAACGATTTCTGGGGCCTTCCACGCAGCAGCAACCACACTAACTGCAGCAATACCGCTGATGATGACCGTATCAACGGGAGATTACGGCCAGCACGACCGAGCCCAAGTGCCAGGCTCCAGGCCCTGTATGTGTACATTAGCTCCATGAACTGTCAAAAGACCCCTGGATCTACAGCCCAGAGAGCAAAGTGACTTTCCTGAGGACGCCCAGCAAGCAGATGAAGAAGCCCACCCCAAACCAATTACAAAGACGACACCATCACCACTGCACCACCGTACTAGCTCTTTACCTGGATTATGCCACGGGCCCCTCGTGACAATTCTATGAAGCCGAGACAATTATTCCCCTTTCATGGATGAGCACTTGGCAAACAAGGCCCAGAGAGATCAGTAGTGTTTGTATGTCTCGCAGCTGGAAGGGACATGGCAACTCGGGGGTTTAAACTCGGAGTCAACGGCAGGACGGATGTGCTTGACCGCTGCGTGACAGCGGCTTCTCTCGGCTACTAAAGGGAGTGCCACCAGGAAGTGCAGAGCTCAGCACGAGTGGCTGCTCTGGGCATCCGCAGAGCCACGGGGAAGGAGCCCAAGGCGGAGGGGACCGGCCCAAGGCGCAGGGGGCGGGCCCAAGGCGCAGGGGGCGTGGCCCAAGGCGCAGGGGGCGGGCGCAAGGCGCAGGGGGCGGAGCCCAAGGTGCAGGGGGCGGGCCTCAAAGAGCAGTGGGCAGGCTCCGGCAGCTGCACTTACCCGGGGCACTGGTGACGTCTGGGCACCTTTCCGGGGCCCACTGGTCTCTGGCGTGAGGTCACGGTGGTCCACCTGCATGTGGCTCTCCAGGTCCTCGGCACTCTCGAATTTGACGCTGCACTCGGGGCAGCGGAGGCCGGCGCAGGGCCGGTCGGCGGGCTCGGGCGGGGCCAGGCCGCCCACCTGTCCGTTGGCGCTGCGGGCCATGCAGCCGGCGCAGAGGCCGTAGGGCAGCCCGTTGACGTCCAGCTTCACCAGGTCCTGCTTGCTGCGGAAGTCTTTGAGGCACAGGGCGCATTTGTAGAGCTTCTGCAGCCCCTGGCCGTTGGGGGAGGACGCCGCCGAGCTGCCCGCCAGCTTCTGCATGTGGAAGGTGCCGTGGATCTTGAGCTCCAGCGTGGAGGTGACCGTCTGCATGCAGACCACGCAGCGGAAGCCTGTGAGCGAGTTGCGCAGGTCGGGGTGCATCTGGCAGTGCTCGATAAACTCCTCCTCGCTCTGCAGGGGCATCTTGCAGATGCGACAGGTGCCCGTGTCCAGGCTCTTGCTGTGGGTCACCTTGTGCTCGGTGAGCGTCAGCAGCGAGGGGAAGCGCTCGCCGCAGATGGGGCACATGTAGTGCTTGGCCGGGCCGCGGTGCGTCTGCAGGTGCTCCCGCAGCCCGCTCTCGGAGAAGAAAGTCCGCGAGCACACGTTGCACTTGTGGCTGCCCTTGATAAACTCCGCCTTCTTGCGCGAGCCGTCGTCCTCGCCCGGCCGGATGTTGTGGTCCCGGAGCCGGTGGTTCTGCAGCAGCACCTCCATGGTGTAGGCCGCCCCGCAGATGTCGCAGCCGTACATGGGCTCCGACGCGTCCACGTCGTCCTCGCTGGCCTCGTGGCTGTTGGGAGCCTCGGGGTTCTTAAGCAGCATGCCCTGCAGGTCCGCGGGCTCCGCCTTCTTGGCGGCGGCGGAGGGCACCCCGTTGGCTGTGCCGTTCTCGGCGGCGGCGTCGAACACGCAGTGCTTCTCCCGCAGGTGCTTCTCCAGCAGGATGATGGCGTGGAAGGCCTTGCTGCAGAACTTGCAGTTGTACTTCTTGCTGTGCGTGGTGATGTGGCACTGCAGCTCCACCTCGGTGCTGAAGGTCTCCCCGCAGAAGATGCACTTGTGGGCCTTGGCCGGGTTGCCCAGGTGGCTGTGCTTGACGTGCACCTGCAGGTCGGCCTCCTTGCGGAAGTCCCAGTTGCAGGCCGTGCAGCGGTACATCTTCTTCTCGTTGCTGTGCTTCACCGCCAGGTGCACCTGGATGGACACCTTGGAGTCGAAGACCTCCTGACACAGCGTGCAGTGGTAGAGTACGAAGGTGTGCATGTCCAGCAGGTGCTTCTGCAGGTCGTCCACCGAGGAGAACTGCTTGTCGCAGCTCTCGCACACGTAGTGGGTCGACGTGGTCATGTAATGCACCGTCAGGTGCTGCAGGAGCGACTCCTGGGAGTCAAAGTCCTCTTTGCACTGGGGGCACGCCTGCTTCCGCAGCAGCAGCTCCAGGTGCAGCTTCAGGTGGGTCTGGAAGCTCTCGAAGTTGGAGAACTTGAGGTCGCACTGATTACAGGGGTACTCGCCGTTGGAGATGGAGTTGGCGCTCGCCGAGAGCCGCTGCCGCTTCGGGGACGACACCTCCACGTCGGAGGAGACCGGGCTCTGCTCCGCCTTGGACTTCTTGCTGTGGGCCAGCGGGATGTTCTTGTGGTTCTCCTTGATGTGCTTGGTGAGCTTCAGGATGGAGCCGAAGATGGGCGAGTTGGTGCAGTAGGGGCAGGAGTAGACCTCCATGAAGGACTGCGCGGGCTGCACGACCGGGGACTCCAGCTTGGCGCTGCCGACGCTGCAGTGGGCCTGCTGGATGTGCTCGGTGAGGGAGGACTCGGTCAGGAAGCCCATGGAGCACTGGTTGCAGAAGAAGGCGTTGCTGCCGTCGGGCGGGTTGGCGTTGGGGCCGCAGTGGGACACGCGGATGTGCTCCTGCAGGCTGTTGATGTCGGCGAACATCTCCGGGCAGTAGTTGCAGTGGAAGGCGGACATGTTGCCGAACTGCATCACGGGGTAGGCGTGGTTCTTGTGCAGCTTGCGGACGTGCTCGTTGAGGTTGTACAGGGTGGGCATGGAGTCCAGGCAGATCTGGCAGGTGTGGCTCTGCTGCGGCTTGTCCGCGTGGATGGTCTTCAGGTGGATCTCCAGCACAGCCAGGCTGTTAAAGTCCCGCTTGGAGCAGTAGGGGCAGCTGTAGACCACCTTGGACCAGCCCTGCCCGTCCTCCCGCATCTTCTTCTGGCCCCGCAGCGGCTTCAAGGTGGAGTCCGGCGTGGAGCCACGCTCCACGGAGGCGCTGGAGTCCGGCGTGGCGCTGCTCATGGAGGCCACGCTGCCCAGCACGGGGTCGGGGCTGATGCTGTGGTTGCTGGAGTCGGGCTGCCGGTGGCTGTCCAGGTGGCAGTAGACGCCCTCCACGGAGGAGAACTGCTCGGGGCACATGGGGCACTTGTGTTTCTGGTTGGCGTGGGCATGGTGGATGTGTGCGAGCAGCGTGTTCTCGTCGACGAAGACCTCGGGGCAGTGGATGCACTGCAGGTCGGCCTTCTCGGAGAGCTGGGGGTGGCGGGCGAGCACGTGCTTCTCCAGCTCCTCGGTCTGGCTGAAGGTGTCCTCGCAGTAGTCACACATGAAGTCGTCCTTCTTGGCCTCCTTCTCCGACTTGGCCAGGTGCTCCTTGTTCTTCTTGTGGGCTTGCATGTGGCTCTGCAGCGAGCTGGTGGAGGAGAAGCCGCGCTTGCACACGGAGCACTTGAAAGGCTTGCTGGAGCTGTGCGTCTTCAGGTGGATCTTGAGGTGGTCGCTGCGGGAGAAGGCCGCCTCGCACTCGTGGCAGTGGTACTTCTTGTCGCCCGTGTGCAGCTTGATGTGCCGGTCGCGGCTCCTCTTGTGCTTGAAGAGGCGGCTGCAGTAGGTGCACTTGAACGGCAGCTTATCGCTGTGGATCTGTTCGTGCCTCTTCAGGTAGCTCAGGCGGATGAAGGACTTGTCGCAGAACTGGCACGGGTACGGCAGGCCCGTGCCCCCTTCCTCCTCACCCAGGCCAAGGTCACACCCATCCCCGATCATCTGCGTGGGTGACGCAACATCCTTGCTGGAGGGAGACGAGGCCACCCAGGAGAGTTGCGGGTCGTCGTCACCATCTGCAGGGGGAAGGCAGAAAGGAGATTAGAGGCAATTCCCAGGGCCGCCGAGAAACAAGGACAGAGCCAAGCTTCTCGACAGCTCGCAGGCTGAGTGTGCAGCTGGCCAACCGCCGCGGGGGGCGTGGGGGAGAAAGCCGGGGGCCGGAAGCAAGTGGCCACAGGGGCCCTCCAGCCTGCAAAGGGGGTGGCAGAGGGGCAGCAGGGTATAAAGGGGACATGCTTTTCCCCTCGTCAACACCTGCCTGGGCCTCACTAGGTGGGTACCCCCATAGGAAGTCGGTCTTAGCTACGTCCCTGATGGCGGGGACAGGGTAGGGGAGCAGCCTGGACAAAGTGACTGGAAATGACCTCACGAACCCATCAGTCTCATGGGCCAAAAGGAGGCAAGTCCCATCACCCGATGGGCACTGGGTGTGACCCCCCTCCGACCTCTAGTCCTAGAGGGAAATTTCAGCAGTCCTCAGCGGCACAGGCAAAGCTTTGCAAACAAACACGATGCACTTTAATGGGTTCGGCCACACCACATTCTTTGGGGGTGGGAGACTGATGAAGCTGGAACCACTCCTCGAGGTGGCAGACAGACATATGAGGTGGGAAGTCACAGGCATATGGCATTGGACCCAAGAGCACCGATGGGAACGAGCAAGCAGAGGGCACTTGAGAAGGATCTGCAGGCTCCTGCCCCAAACCACCGTGAGGGGGCTGTTTTCCTTGCCTCCCCTCCACCCCCAGGGCTCACCCAGGTCCACCCAGGACCCCGGGAGATGATAAGAGACTAGAGGATGAACCAGGAGCCAGAAGGACACAGAGCTCAGAGCCCAGTGGGCCCCTAAATCCATCGTGGTGGGGGCCTCCTTGCTCGGATGCCCAGCGTGGCCCACCTTCTTGGAGGACAGAGGCCACCCCAATCCCCCATCCCGCCCCGGACGTCACTGGCCCATCCAGCCTCAGAGGAAACTAAACCAAATGAGAGACTGGCCGTTTCTGGGAAAACAAAGCACACAGGACGCAGCAGATGAAGCCAGTGAAGTTCCCCGAACATGCGGGTTGAACTGAGTGAGCTCCGTGGCTCGAGTTTCTGTCAGTGGATTTAGAACTTAATAATGAATGAAACGGACCGCGGGCTGCTGCGAGCGGAGGAGAGACAGACGAGAGCTCAGATTCGGCCACCCTGACCTTGCTCCTGTAACCCCGGGAAAATCAACCACTGCCTGCTCTCTCCGGCCCCCCGCCCGCCCAGCTTAGCCTCGCAGACGGAACCCAGAAGGTCTTGCCGGGGGCGGCCCAGACCCTCCAGGAGGAACGGGGCAGGGGACCACGTTGCCAGGCATGGGCAGATGCTGGCACACACGCTTGCACACATCAGCACACTCACAGGCACACATGCAGCTCACGTGTCACTCCCACAATGCACACAAATTTAGACACAAACACATACTACCAACACCTACAGCCACAGACGCCGTCACGCTCACACACGGTCACACGCATGCATACACATCCATTCACACACTATCATTCCCACTATCGTTCACACACAAACTGAAACATGCATGCGCCCACACACACTCTCACCTGCAGACACATACACTCACACACACCATAACACACAATCACAGGGACACCAGGTCCTCACAGCTGCCTCTGCTGTCCCCGGCCAACCCCCAGACCTCAAAGGACGGCAGACCCAGCGAAAGGTCTTGCAGGGACCCTCAGGGCTGGTTCTGAGCCTGCTCCTAGGCCACACCCACCGCCTCGGTGCCCACCCAGGTGCCCGGCCCTGGCCGTGTGAAGATCTGCCTGACCCAAGCGGGCACCGCTGGCAAAGCTCCCGGCCCCAAATCCTGCATCTCCGGCGGCCTCCTCACATCTGAAGCCCAGCCACCCAGCCCGGAGGTGTGGGCACCTCCCAGAGCTCTCAGAGCGAGGCACCTGCTCCCCTGGGGGCCTCACGTTACGGGCCCTTCCTCCGGGAAGGACGCAGCCGCTGCCAGCACCTCCGATTAGATGTGGGAAGAGGCGGCCCAGCCCCTGCCTGGTGATCCCCAGCTCCTGCCAGCTGGGTTCCACAGGGCGCAGACAAAGGGACCCAGCAGAGGAGATGGCTGGAGCTGAGGCTCGGCCCCCCCCGCCCGCTAGCCAGGCTCCACCGGCTTTTTATTATTTTGATGTCTTAGCTCAGACTCGCTTGAGCTGCCCTGGAGCCCGTTCTGTGTGCCTGACCCCTCTGCCACGCGCACGGGTTGGGGGACCAGGGCCCTTGCCACTCTACAGAAAAGGAGACGGAGGCACAGTCACAGTGACTTCCCCAGAAATACGACAGCACCTGGACCGTCCACAGTCCGGCCCCCTGACCAGCGCGTCCACGGGTCAGGTGAACGAGACCACACCTGCACGGTGTGAGGGCGAGGGAGCCACGTGTCTAGGGCGAGGGAGCCACGTGTCTAGTCTCCAGTGCACTCAGGGTCTGGATGTCCTTCGAGTCCTCTCTGCCAAGATGACCAGGACTAGGCCATGGCCTGCGCTTCAAGGCGGGGCCCGCTGAGGCCAGAGAGGCGTGGGACGGCCTCGCGCCACCTGCCCGAGGGTGGGAGCAGACACCTGCACACACGCGAGGCCTGTGATTATTCATCCGCCCTATTTGCATTCTTAACCTCTCAGGCTCACTTTACTCATTTGAGAAAAGAGAATCACTGTGAGGGGCAGCTGAGAAAAATCAATGTGAAAAAGCACTATTATTCTATTTGTGCGCTATGTCCAGACAAGGTACATCTGCAGAGACAGAAAGCAGATTAGTGGTCGCCTGAGGCTGGAAGAGAGCAGGAAATGACTGCAAATGGGCAAGAGGCATCCTTTGGCGAGATCATGGAGACGCTTTAAACCCGGATTGCAGCGAGGGCTGTACGGCTTTGTAAATTCACTAGAAGTCACTGAGTTGCTTGCTTAAGACAAGTGAATTTATAGCACGCAAATCATACATCAATAAAGTTGTTAAAGAAAAGCACCACTTGGCCGATAATAATAATTAGTGCTAATTAGCACCACGGATGCTAATAACATCAGCAGTTACATTTACTGAGCACGTCCCAAGTGCCAGCACTGTGCTAAGTGCTTCTGTTACCGCAATTAACTTCTCTTTCTCCAAACAACCGTCAGCAACATCCCATGTCCGAGCCGAGGAAGCTGAGGCCTGCGAGGTGAGTGACTGCCCAGGTGCCTAGGCAGTGCTGGGCCGGAGTGCCCGTGTCTCCCGCAAACGCAGATCCACCAGGCTTTGAGAAGCAGAATCAACCTGGCCAGGGCCACAGTCCCTGCTTGTGGGGGGTGCCTGGTTGGCTGTATTTTTCTGCAAACAAGTTTCAAAACTGAAGCAAAACCCATTATTCTGGGAGTGACAAACTGAACAACGGCTGAGATTGTAATCATCTGAACGGAAATGAAAATAAGGCTCCTTAAACTGAAAAGGCCTCATCCGGGGGATGGACATGTTGACATAAACAGTCCCAAACTCAGATCGCCTTGTTTAGAGCCTTTTATTCTCAGATTATTTAACCTTGGCTATTGCCGTCCACCCCTGCAAATGCGTTTTGCTTTGGGGACACTTAGCTTAGGGCTCCTGCAGCAGGTGGAGAGTGTGAGCGGAGGCCGGATGCCCGGGACGTGTGTGCAGGACGGCAGCAGAGGAAGAAGGGGACCCGTACCTTTCGGTGGCGACATCCCCCCAGGCCGACCGTGAGACACCACACACGCGCAGCCGTGACCGCGTGCGCCTTCTGGCAGATGTGCAGAAAGGGGAGGGGGTGCAGAAACGGGGCAAAGGCAATCTCGGGGTCCCCTTCGACTTGATCATCCCCGAACTGAGGGAGAAGACAGGCGCCAGGAAAGTCCAGCTCGACCAGTTACCCCTTTGCTCCCAAGTAAACGCCTGTCTAGATTTTGCTGTGGACCATGCGGTCTGCTGAGAGCCTGACGGGTATCAATCTATCCAATCCTTTCAATGGCCCGGTGAGAAACTACACTTGTTATCATCTCATTCACAGGTGAGAAAACAGAGGCCCAGAGAGGCTGAGGAACTCGCCCGGTGCCACACAGCCAGCAGGCGGCAGAGCCAGGACTCGCCCCGATGGCCAGGTTCCGAGTCGGGGCTTCCGCCCACGATGGCGCACCGTTCTGCTCCTCTGGGAGACGCACGATCGCACGAGGACATCGGTGAGACAGAGCGACTAACGCCAGGCCCTCGGCTTCCCTCGCCCCGAGAGTACAAAGAAATATGACAAAATGAGTAGAAAAATCACTTTCGCGACGGAGATTAAAGTCATTTAAAAATGACTAATCCTGCAAAAAAAAAAAAAAAGACCTGGCAGGCAGTGGGCTCGTTCCGTGAGGCTTTTGCTGTCTGCTGCAGGAAGAGAACTGAAATAAGCATAAAAGAGGGGAGAAATTTTGATAAAAATTCAATTAAGTAGGAAAAAAGGAACATGAACCAGCCGCGGGACGAGCAGGGCGGGCTCCGAGCGCACGTGGTCACACTCGGTGGGTTCCACGGGCCGACGCTGCGGCAGCCCGAACGTGGCCTCAGACGACACGGACACACCCTGTCTGGGTGCCAAGCAGCTGCCACCCAGGAACGGCTGGGCGCCTCAGCTCCGCGGCGCCTCCCGTCCCAGACGAGCAGGCGGGGGCCGCTGGGGAAGTGCGTGGACGGGCGGGGGAGGGTCGCTTCAGATGAGGGGGAGGTGACAGGGGCTGACGGCCAGGCAGCTCCAGGTGTCCGGGGAAGTGCCCAGCTGCTCCAGACCGCGATGGAGGGCTGACTTGGCGCACGCAAAGCACCTGTGGGAGGTACGCTGGGGACAGGAAAGAGCACAGGACAGAGCGTCCCTCGGGAGCCCCGGGCCTCGGCTGCCCCACTGAAGCATGGGCAGCTGGAAGTTTGGTTTCCACAATCCTTTCTGGATAAAAGGAAAGGTTATTTTGGACACTATTCTGACCTCCAG